AAACGTAAATGAAATTACTCTGTAGTTTAAAGAAAAAAAAAACAATCCCAGTAAAAAAAAAAAAAAAAAAAAAAATTAAACTAGCAAGTTAGGCCAAAACGTATGACTTTTTCCTGGAGTTGTTTGCAGTGGGACCGAGTGGCATCACTCATATTGGTGTCAATTAGTGAGAAAAATGGCCAGTTTTGTTGGTGCGGGTGATCCTGGAAGGCTCTGGTCAGGAGGAAGGCTGGCGTTTGACAGGCAGTGAGGGAGGGTCTCTCTCCTTCCCTTACTGGACTCACATCACATCACATCGCTTTGCTTTGCTGCAGGACAGCAGTGCTGGGGGCGGGGCAGGTCCTGCAGAAGTGACGCGACATCACCCCCATAGGGACATGGGGGCAAAGCGGTGGATCTGGTGGGGTGGGCATGGCCTCGTGCCCTCTGAGGCTTTTGTTTTGTTTCAGGAAAAGGAGAAGCTGAGAGAGGGGAGATTCTAGGATCCAGGCAGGGGTACTGGGTGGCGGGACCTCCCAGGGCAGGGACGGGACAGTGGCCAGAGCACAGCGGTGAGGGGTGATGGACCCCACGGGGCGGGAGACCGAGCTGGGCCGGCCCCTGGGGGCCTCCACCCCACTTAGCAAACCAGCCCTGCAGAGACAAGCAGGAAGTAGGCTGAGCGCTGTGCTGGCCGACCTGGGGCTGCACCAGAAGGAGCCACCCTCCCGCCCCGCTTTCAGCCCTCTCTGGGCCCTGACACACCCTAAAATAGACTCAGATGCCTGACCAAAGGCCGCCTGGCCAGGGACCTGCCCGGCCACCTCCCCCCGCTTGCGATGCTCCCTCTGTGGGAATGCTGGCTTCTCTCATCTCGGGTCTCGACTCAGATGTCACCCTCCTGACCCCCAGGACACAGCGGCAGCCTCTACCCTCTCCCGGCCCAGCCCCCCGCCAGCCACCCCACCTAAGTCCAGCCCGTGGCTGCAGCTCAGTGGTCAGGCCTGTCGCCGCCTTCGTGGGACCATTCCCGGTGATGCCGTTGCATCTTAGAATGTTACAAAGTGTCCGGCGGGGACATGCAGACAGTCTTCACTCACCCAGTGACCAAGAGAGTGACTTGGGATCTTTCTGACTCACGGGGCTCAGAGTCCTTCGAGCACACCCGCCGCTCACTTGCCCCCTCGGGGTCTCGCTCCTTGGCCCGCAGGAATGAGACAGGGCAGGATCGTGCGGTCCATTCCTCTCCCCCGGCCTGCGTGTCCGAGGCTTCCCTGCCTGGCAGTGGCCCCTCTTTCTCGTGCCCTTTGCTCCCCCCAGCCGTGGGAGTCAGTGAGCCACCCGTCATCTTCATTCCCTCGTCCCGCTCAAATCTCCGTGAGGCGGTGCCCCAGGCTGCGACACCCGCCCACCCCCCGGGACAGGCCAGGGAAAGTGACCAATGACCGTGATGCTTTTCTCCCTGGGCTGTGGGACCCTGGGCACCTTTCCTCTGCAAAATGAAGGGCTGACCCCGACACTCGCTCAAGGCCGTCTGCAGCCTGAAACACAGCCCGAGCTGGACCTCCTCCACCTGCGGACCCCAGGGCGGCTCTCCACAACTGCAGAAAACGCACCTTCCAGCAACTAGAAATCACTCGTGCCTTCATGCTGGCAGAGTTAAACGCTGCAGTCTTCTGGGGAGCTCTGCGCATCCGCTGAGATCTACTACTGATCGCGCATCGCCGGGGCGGGCCGCCGGGCTGTGGTCATGACCACAGACCCTGGACAGGGACCAGCCTCCTTCCCGGCAGTTGTACGGCACCGTCTGAACTTGCAGGAGCGAGGAGGTCATTATCACTCACTAACGCAGCTGCCATCCTCCGGGGGAAAAGAGGCACGTGGACGGCTGTCTGCAAGCTCACTGACCACACTGTTGTCTGTTTCCTGGGAGTTGCTGTTTCTCAGTCACGTTGAGGCCGTCTTTTGGAAAAGCATAAAAGGACCATCTTGCTACTTTCTGAAGGTGTGCACTCTGTCACTCAGCTCCACCTAATGACCTTCAGGTGCCTTCCCAAGGTGACGCCTGGCGTGGAAAGCCCCACGCGCCCCCTTTGGTTAAAACTCCGAGTCGGCGGTGTAGGGGTTCAGGCGCGGGCACTAGCCCTCTGGCGCTCATGGAAAGCGGGTGATGCTGGGACGCAGGGCCGCTCGCGGACCAGACTTTCCTTAGGGGCTGCACCGCCAGGGGGTTGCAGGAATTGCTTCTCAACCAGGCCCTCTCCATTCCACTGTCTTGTAACCCACCTGGGCGTCCATGATAGCAAGATGGGCTCTGCCCACTCGCAGGGGGCAGACTGTGGGGATAGGGGTGATGGACCCCAGGGGCTTAAAGAATCGGGGTCTTGGCAAGACTTGTCCTTGTCGGTCCTGGAGACCCAAAGCAGAGGCGAGGAGAGGACTTGAGGCATCAGGAACACTGGGCTGGATGCCCGGGTCCGGACTCACATCCCACCTTTGGGAGGCTGCCTTGGGTCTGTCGGCACAGCCCCAGGGTTGGGCGTCCACCTCAGCTGGAAGGCACTGGCCACACCCCTGGTGACTGAGTGTCCTGGTGTCACCGAATCAAAGCACCACAGACTGGGGTGCTTCCACAATGGACGTTCATGTCTCAGTTCTGGAGGCCACAGGCCAAGACGCAGGCGTGGCAGGGCTGTCCCTCGCGAGGGCCAAGCAGATCTGTCCCAGCCCCTCTCCTAGATTCTGGTGGCTGCCGGCAATCTTCCGGGTTCCTTGGCTTGTAGAAACATCACCTCGATCCCTGTCTTCATCTGCACACGAAGTTCTGTCCGTGAGCGTGTCTGCGTCCAAATTCCCCTCTCAATAAGTTCACTTGTCATGCTGGATTAGGGTCCGTCCGCCCTAGGGACCTCACCTGAACTAACCACATCTGAAAACCCAGTCCCATTCTGAGGTTCTGTGGGTTTCAACACAGGAACCCTGGGGGGCAAAGTTCAGCCCATCCACCCATGGAGGCCAAGACCCCGAGGAAAGAAGACGCTTCGGCATCTGGGCCTGGTCCGGCTGCTGGGTTAACGCTCAGCTGAATTTATCTTTCAGAGATGCTGACATACTCTAAGACCCAATATTAGTTTCATAAACAACAGTTTCTTTCTTGCACACTATACCCACAGGTCCCATCGACAATTCCAAGTGCTACTGCAGCCAGTCAGATGACAATGGTGCGAGGAACTTTATCTTCAGTATTTACTGTTGGGCTGGAATATTGCTCTGATTCCTCGGGGGCGATTCAGCACTCCCGTGGGAAATACGTGACTTAATTAAATTTTCTAATTGAATTGCTGTCAGCTTTCCTGCAAGACGGCACACAAAAAAGTTCTTCCAGATTCCAGCCCTGTTTGCATTACCCACAAAAAGACCGCCTTTAAATTGTTGCTAAGAAAGGAAAGGAAAAGGGGAGAAATTGCCAAATTTTTATGGTTCACCTAACTGGAAAGCTGTCAGTTTTGCTGGCTCCACAGTCGCTGGAATGACGGACAAGGGAGACTGCGCTTGACGGGACCTCGACACGGGAGAGATGGAATTTATGGAACCGGGAAATTAGGGGGTCCCCTCGCGCCCTCCTCCAGGGATTTGCTTCAAGGCTCCTTTTGGTAAGAGCTTCTCGGGACTTTTAACACTGCAAATGGCTTCTTTGAAGGAGGCCCTTGTGTTTCTAGAAACTTCTGCTAACAGAACCCCTGCTGGCGACGTTCTCGTTGAACACCCCACCTCTCCAAACCCAGCCAGGAAGCCCTCTGCAGGCATTAAAAAACGTTTGAAAATTGAGAATTATAAACGACATGCAGGAAAGTGCTTGAAACGTCAGTGAACAGACACACTAATGATCACATAATGAACACCTGCCCCCAGGACCCCCTCACGTCCCTCAGGCCCCCACCAGGGCCACCTCCTCTCGCCTCCCACAGCGGTCCCCTGCGCGGCTGTACACGCACTCTGAGCTGTCCACGTCTGGACTCACAGTCTGCACTTTCCTGCCTGGGTGCCCGCCCTGTTTCCCTCGATATGTGTCTGTGAGATTTACCCATCCTGTTGCTTTGTTCATTTTTGCTGCTACATAGAAATTCACTGTATGAATCCACCACCAGGTACTTATCCAACGTAATGAGGATGAGCGTTTGGGTTCTTTTCAGATTTATCAAATTCTGGTGCAGAGCTGTTGGTACGAATGTGTACACACTTCCGTTGGGCTTGTACCTAAAACCAGCAGCATCATCAAAAAATACAAAATTTGGTCTTTGCCCTCTATTCCTGACACAGAGCTCTCAAAACCAATCTCTGCAGTGATGGGCTGACAGGAGTATTTTACCCAGAGCTCCTAGGCCCCTAGGAATTTCCTGGGTGAGAGAGCATCTTTTGTTCTCGTGAGGTGACTCTGGGTGGGCTCCTGGAGGGGGCTGGCCACCAGAAAGCCTAAAGCCATGATTAGAAGCTTGGAGCTCTCAGACCTACACCCCATCCTCTGGGGAGAGGGGAGGGGCTGGAGGTCGAGTTAATCGATCATGCCTACGTGATGAAACCTCCATAAAAATCCCTAAACTCTGGGGCGTGGAGAGCTTCGAGGTTGGTGAACACATCCATGTGCCAGGAGGGTGGTGCACCCCATCGCCACAGGGATAGAAGCCCCTGCACTTGAGACCCTTCCAGACTTCGCCCTAAGTAACTCTTCCTCTGATGCTCCTCTGGTTCCTTTATAATATCCTTCATGGTAAACCAGGAATAATAAGTGAGTGTTGCCCCGAGTTTTGTGACCCATCGTAGCAAATTATCGAACTGCGGTGGGGGTTGTGGGAACCGAGCCGGGCGGAAGCGAGTAACCTGGAGACCCACCACTTGTAACTGACGCCCGAAGGGGGGTGGGCTTTTGGGACTGAACCCTGAGCCTGCGGGGTCTGTGCTGACTCCGGGCTGCGAGTGTCGGAACTGAATTAAATTAGAGAACATCCAGTTGGTGTCCACGGAAAGTCAGAGAACTGGCTGGGGTGGAAAACCTACCCCTTTGGTGTCAGAAGTGTGAGTAGAGGAACAGTTTTCCTTTCAACCAGGCAAACGTATATTCAACTTCCAATGAAAACGCCCGCTGACGCTAGAGAGGCTGCACCATTACGCACGCCCACCAAGAGCACATGGTAACTCCAGCTTCTGCACATTCTCACCAATATTTGGTATTTCCAGTCTTTCTAAGGTTAGCCATCCTGGCGGATTTTCGGCTTTAATCTGCATTGCCCTGCTGAGGTTGACAGGTCCTCACACTGATCCACACACTGGCTCTTCTCTTTGGTGGACAGCCTGTGTTCTTTTTTCTTCTATCATTAGGTTATCTGTCTTTACGTAGTGATTTGAGGCTCTCTTTATATATTCTGGACGTGCCTCCTTTGTCAGTCATTAAGGGTCACAGATATCCTCTCTCCAGCTCTGGCTTATCTTTTCACTTTCGTAAGTATGTGCTCTGATGAGTACATTCTTATTTGTAACCAGGTCCAATCATCGACCTGCCCTGGATACCCTGTGCTTCATGGGTTGTGTATAAGGAAGCTTTCCCCACACGTCACCCCCTATGTTCTCTTCCGTTTGTTTGGTTTGTCTTGAACGCTCAGATTTACAATCCACCTGGAATTGATCTGGGGTGTGGAGTGTGGTACAGG